ACGCGCATGCGCGGAAGCAGCGAAACACGACCCGCGCACACGCAGTCGCGCAGTCGCGTCTTACGTTCGCTTCAGGATGTGAACGGGGCTCCAAAACGGATCCTGTTCGCATCCAGAGGTACCACAGTATCTTAAATAGTACCATAGTTGCAAACTACATATTCTAACACAACAGGCTGTGATAGTCTGACATACAGATGAACAGAACAGGGCATAGTAGACTTGCTTTCAAGGGTAGTTAGTAAAGGAGGGATACTGTTCCACCCCACACTCTTTTACTACGTATAAATATCCACTCTGCTGATGCTAGGGGCTTTGGCTAGAAGCAGGAAGAGTCCTTGTGGAAGCAGCGTTTGTGTGAATCAGCACCGCCACGCCTGCTGAAAATCCAGTAAAAAGTGTGTGTGCACACGAAAGCTTATACAAACTTAGTTGGTCTCAGAGGTGCTGCTGGACATTTTTTAAATTTATTTCGTTTGCGTCAGACCAACACGGCTACCTACCTGAATCCAACATTTCCATGATTACAGCGTACCTCTTTCTAGGTGAAACCCACAGGTGCTTAATAGGAAGCAATTTATAAACAAAAGAAAAAAATTAGTAGAAAGTACTTAACTTGCTGGATCATACCCACGTTATCTGAGAACAAAAAATATCCATCACATATATAACCAGTCATTTTTCATACACATAAAACTGAACATTACACTCAGGGCTAGATTTAGGTTTGATGAGGCCCTAAGCTACTGAAGGTATTATTTATACGTCCAGCTGTCAACAACAAATTGTCACTGTTTTTTGTGTGTTGAATATATGCTATATGGTAATTTATGGACCTAACAGGTATCTAAAGCCATTTGCACATGTTGCCGTGCAACCAGTCCATGCAGAATGTAGGCACCCTATATATAGAAAGGAGCAAACCTGTGATATTTTAGGGAGCAGGCTAGCATTACTTACATCATAGGAGCCTATACAACACAATACACTGTTGCTGTATGTAGGTTTTATTTTATTTGTTTTTTATCTTATATTTTGGAAATGTACATCCTGGTGTGTGTTTTTTCCCTTTAATTTTTTGGGGGCTCCCAAGAGAGTGGGGTCCTAAGCTATATCTTGTTTAGCTTATACGTAAAGCTGGCACAGATTACACTGCTTGGATAAATTGCTTTCATGAGCACTTTGTACATTTTCTAAATAAAATAAAATAAAATAAAACGAGGCTAGTGCATGTTTATGTGCAAGTCATGATTATTTCCACCTGCACCTCCCCTCCAAGACTCACATTGAGGTTAACTGCATGCTTCATTTCTTTGTATATCTCTGTCTGCACTTAAATCGATTTTTCTGCCTTGTGTCATAATTCATTGCAAATCTATATCTAACTTTCACCGACTCATCTTGCCTTCATATTCTGCTCCCTTACTGAAGGCTTGTCGCTGTTTATTCCCTTTATTTATTGCCTTTCATTTAACAAAGTTCAGTTACTTTTATCTGCTGTCTCTGATTCAACAATTGCTGAAACTTGTTATATCAAATCTTGTTCTCCAGGGTATTTATAACATTATCCACTCGAGCATTCCTGGGCATTCTATATCCCTTCTTCTAAATAATGAATGAGGATATTAAAAGAGCTAATTTAGCCCTTGTCCATCAACTGAACTGCCATTTATCAATTACCCCCCCCTTGAAGGAATCTTTGGAATTTTTAGCACACATGATGGTTCTGTGTGAATTAGACTGCAGCAGCAAGACAGGAAGACGTTCTTAGGAGGCATCTTAGGTTTTTACTTTAGGTTCTTTCTTTTCTTAATAAAAGGAAGTAAGTACCAGGCAAGGAGGGTGGTTGGAAGAAGTAAAGATGCTTGTGCCATGAAAACAATGAGACTCGATATCCCTGCTGGGTCCTGCGGGGCCTTTGCAAAAACAGAATAATTCCCAAAGGGTGAAAGGTCCTGGAAGACCCTGACATATTTTCAAACAAGAAATTTAAAGACAAATGGTATTAGCATACCACTTGTCTTTAAATTTCTTGCTTGAAAACACTCATCCAGTGTTTCCTGAGACAAACAGATGCCAACCTATTGGTATGCCATTCTAAAAAAAAACCAACCTTATGATTTCATTGGTTGAAACATCTAAGGAGTAGATGGCATGCAAGTTTAATGTGACAGTAAAGCATTTAAAGGATGCGGGTGGCACTGTGGGTAAAAGCCTCAGCGCCTAGGACTTGCCGATCGTCAGGTCGGCGGTTCGAATCCCCGCGGCGGGGTACGCTCCCGTTGTTCAGTCCCAGCGCCTGCCAACCTAGCAGTTCGAAAGCACCCCCAGGTGCAAGTAGATAAATAGGGACCGCTTACTAGCGGGAAGGTAAACGGCGTTTCCGTGTGCGGCTCTGGCTCGCCAGATGCAGCTTGTCACGCTGGCCACGTGACCCGGAAGTGTCTCCGGACAGCGCTGGCCCCCGGCCTCTTGAGTGAGATGGGCGCACAACCCTAGAGTCTGTCAAGACTGGCCCGTACGGGCAGGGGTACCTTTTTATTATGCTGGTGGTGCTGTGGGTTAAACCACTGAGCCTTGGGCTTGCTGATCGAAAGGTCGCGGTTCCAATCCCGCGACGGGGTGAGCTCCCGTTCTTTGGTCCCAGCTCCTGCCAACCTAGCAGTTTGAAAGCACGTCAAAGGGCAAGTAGATAAATAGGTACTGCTCCGGCGGGAAGGTAAACAGCGTTTCCGTGCGCTGCTCTGGTTCGCCAGAAGAGGCTTTGTCATGCTGGCCACATGACCCGGAAAAACTGTCTGCAGACAAATGCTGGCTCCCTCGGCTAATAAAGCGAGATGAGTGCCGCAACCCCAGAGTCTTCCGCGACTGGACCTAATGGTCAGGGTTCCCTTTACCTTTACCTATTACACTTCTTATTCTTATTTTCATTTCTAGACTGCTTTATATTTTTAGGGGGGGGGGATTCAAAGCGGTTTACAACCTACATTAAAACATCAAATAAAACTTTCCAAAATACAACCTTGCAGAAGAAAACCAAATACAAAGTATACATTCAAAGCAACATTATTAACAGGAAACTAAAGTATTAGCTTACAGATTTCAAAATAAGACATTACAAAGGGAGATCATGTATAGAATGCTAGTTATAAACTCAGTTTGGTTATGTCTGTTTTTAAAGGTTTTATTGTGTTTATTCAGGGGGCCATGAAGCCAGGAAATCATACTCCGCCCATTTAATGTTTATTGTCTACTGGCCATCTGATTTCAAGTGAATGGTGCTGTAAAAACATTGTTTAAATAAAAGGAAAGGAAAGGAAAGAAGGAAGAAAGAAAGAAAGCACTCACATATGGCATGAAAATTCAGCATTGTTTTAGTGCAAATTTCTCCTCCTAATCACATTCCTGTATGCCATTCTGACAAATGCACACATTTTTGCGTCTTCCCTTAACAGAATACATTTATGCATGTGGTTTTCGCTAATATATTCATTTCAATGCACATTCTTCCCCAATATATGCAGTTTTGTAAATCGTGTTTGGTTGGAGAACATCACCACAAAATTCAGATTACTGCGAATTCTGAAGGATACCAGAGTTTCAGTTCATCTCTTCCCTCAGAAAGTGAGAAGGTTCCCCTTTAAATGTTACCTGAACTTTCTGAAGTTCTTCTTCCATAGATGACTCTGCTACTATCTGTTCCCCTAGATCCTTCCTAGGACGTACATGTGATGCATGTCTTTGGTTTTCTAGGCTCAGCTCAACTGAATGTCTCTCTTCTGGGACAGCCTTTGACAAGCCTTTAGTCCCTTTTCCTGACTGAAGTGAAGCCTAAGTAGGTCTGATTGTAATTGCACATATTTATCCCCTGTCAAAACTTGCTTGCTTGTCTCCTCCCTTCCCTCTACAGTGGTGCCTCGCAAGACGAAATTAATTCGTTCTGCGAGTTTTGTCATCTTGCGATTTTTTTCGTCTTGCGAAGCACGGTGTCGGGAAAGTTTTGGAAAAGCTTCAAAAATCACCAAAGTCTTTAAAAACCTCAAAAAAGGCTACCACACCGCGTTCTATGAGTTGCTCCTTGAAGTCAAGTCGCAACTGTATTAACGATGTTAAGAAAAAGGAAACAAACTTGCAAGACGTTTCCGTCTTGCGAAGCAAGCCCATAGGGAAAATCGTCTTGCGAAGCAGCTCAAAAAACAAAAAACCCTTTCGTCTAGCGAGTTTTTTGTCTTGCGAGGCATTCGTCTTGCGAGGTACCACTGTATTTCCTTTTCTCCACCCTCAAATTTAGATAATAAGTTAGGCATGTAAATGCTTAATAGGGTCTTTGGGGAGGGGTTTATTTTTCTCTAGAGCACTAACTACATTAATAGAACAATGCTTTAAAATGACGTTGTTGTTAAGACTTGCAAAAGGTTTGCCATCCTCTTTTCAACGAAAGTATTAATCATTAGAAGTACTTTCCGGGAATGTGTACATTTAATTATTTGATGACCCAGGTTGCTGTGGCCTGGTATGCTGAAGGAAATTTGCTAAAACTTTAGACTCCTTTGGGGCAGGCTGTGGAGTTTGTTATTTTTCACAGTATTTGCAGTAAGCTACAGAGTTAAGCCAGGCTGTTTATATCTGCCCTGCTGCTGCCACAACAAAACGATTGCCTTCGCCTTGATCGCTTTTTATTTCTGACAGGTGAGCTTTTGGTGTGGAAGGTTGTATATTGTCTTACTGTGGCTGGGTAGATAACCCAGCCTTGAACTGCACACTTTAATGTTTTTTCTTGTGCATAGCAATCAGTGCAAAGCTACACACACACATCCCACCGGCAAGATTGCATCTTGCTGCTCCTTGAAAACCACAATTCAAACTGGGTGCCCTGCTATCTCGCTTTCCTACCTGCTTACATGCTGATTCATTGATGAGGACAAATTTCTATGTGTAGAGTTGAGGCTGCAGGCCCCGCCTCTGACTGAATGGTCGGTGAGGTTGCAGCAGTATCTGCCAGGGAGACAGCGGAGGAAAGTGTACCTTTGCTCTCCTATATCTACTACAAGTGCTCATCACGCCAGACAGCTTGCGTACAGGGTTACAGGAGGACCCGCGTGTGACCGCCCTGTTCAGCATCCCCCTGTCAGTTCAGTCTTTTCCTTGCATGCTTTTTCGTTTCCTCCTCTAGTCCTTTGAAGGATTCTCCCTTTTTCAAACAAATCCAAAGGAGTTTGTCTGGCTTTAGAGAGGCAGCTTGTGAGCAGGCGAGCTGGGACAGAAGTTCTCTGTCAAAAACTATTCACTTTCATTAGCAAAAGTGTTCTGGCTCCCATCAGAGGACTACCTCCCTGCATAAAATGAGTGGATGTCGAAAACGGTGTAAACGTGAAATACTGAAATTCGCCCAGTATCTTCTCAGGCTAATTACAGGGTCTCTCCATACAGGTAACAACCCTTATTTTCTTTATCATGGAAATGTGCAGAGTGGTAACAATGCAACTGTCTTCTTCCACAATGCTTTTTTGCTCTGTTTTGTGGCGGTCTTTATTTAGTAAAATGACCTGGGAGGAGGGGAGGGATTTTAACGAATGCATTTTTGGTTGTTTAATGTAAACTATGCAGGAGCAGTACATTTGGTTAAATTGCACTGAAGTCTGCACTTGCATCCAAATCAGAACGGTGCTGTTAAACATACATATGTGTTTGCATATTTGTTTGGAGCAGAGTGCATTAAGAAATGTGGAGCATTGTGCTCTCCTGTGGGGTTTGGCATATGAAGGCAGATTTCAATGTATGAACGATGTTCACGTTATCTCAGTTGGCAAGCAGAGAGCCGCTCTTGAAATATAAATCAACTGCTGGATGTTAGCATGACATTAAAATTCTATCAGCAAGAGCTTTGGAAAGACTGCTTTTCAGGGTGTTTAAAATCTGTGAAATTTCTGCAATCTCTCTCTTGACAGCCAAGCCCTTGAAACTGAAATCTTGAAAAGGGGTAGGGGTGTCTGTGTGTGCACGCACTTGTGTTTGTTGATTAATCTCTGCTTTAAGGTGGGTGAAATAACAGCATGAGACCAAGTTGGAACATTTTGTTATTTAAAAAGAATTCCTTTGCAGAAGTGAGGCCAGCTGTCTCTCTTTGGAAAATACTTTTCCTATTCTGAGGTGCATGTGATAAGGTATTTTTACACCCTTGTCAGGTGACAATGGTAAACAGCCCACCTTGTATGCTCCAGGTGACATTTATTTATGTTTTGATTCCGTGTTAAAAATATCAGTTTGAGGTGTGTTCTCTCTGTGTGTGTGCAGTTTGAGGGCTGTGGGTGGGTGTATGCTATTAATAATTATAATTACATATTCATATGCATGTATTAAGGACACTGCCATGTGTCAAGTTGTAACCAGTTTGTACTTTGCTGTGTTAGAAAATCTTGCTCCTTGGAAACTCACAGAAATTGAAGGGTTCAAATCAAATTCAAAGATGCATTTTTACTGTCAGAATAAAATACATTATATTGACACTTATATCTGCGTAGAATAAATATCCATTTCCGGTAAGCGGTTTTTATATCGTTCTGGCAGTTTTGACGGTTTTGCAGAATTTAGTATAATGGCGTGCTTCTGCTACAAACATGTGTCCCCAACCTTCACCTCATCACTGTTGATAGAATTTGTATCCTTTATTTTTAGGTCATGGTGAGCCAAACAAGAATATTATTTATATACATTCTTTCAGGAATCTCAAATTCATATTCCTTTCATCATATTTCTTTAGGCTGCAGCATAGTGGAATAGTTGTCAGCAAATATTTCAGCTGGGGCTACAACCAGGAACTTTGGGGTCTGTGCTTTTTTGCCCCTTGTGGTGAGACCGTTCATGGGACAGCAATGGGCTTTCAGACTCCAGGGTGGCTCCCCATGTAGGAAGCCCATTGGTTTCTCTTGATCTAATATGGCATTGCAAGCTTCTGCCTTGCACTTTTCCTAGAGAAATGTGAGCTTGGTGTGGTCTAGCTGCCTGCCTCCTGTACTCTTATTCCCCTACCATTCTCTCCAAGTCAAGGATTTCATGCTTCCTGCTCCTTGTGCTACCAGTTCTTAAGACTCCCTACAGACAAGCAGTAAGCAGTGGGCAAAATCCAGCCAGAATTGGAAAAATGTCAAGTTGCTAATCAATCAATTTTTAGAGAGTCGGTGTGATGTAACAGCTAGGGAAGAGGTAGCCAAGGAACTGTTCTCCATGTGTTAGATTACAACTCCCTTCATCCCTGAGCATTGGCCATGGTGGCTGGGACTGATGGGAGTTGTAGTCCAACAACTTCTAGAGGATACCAGGTTGAATACCGCTGGACTTTTACTAGGTTCAAATCTATTGTGAGCCATGAAACTCCCTGGGTGATCTTGGACCAACCACTCTCTCTTAGAATAAGCTGCATTTCAGGCTGACCAGGAAACCAGGTGTGCTACCCTGAGCTTTTTGGCGGGTGAATTAAAAAGTGACTGGTCCCAGCATTAAAATCATATTCTGCTAGCAAATCATAGAAGAATCATAGAATTGTAGATTTGGAAAGGACCTTAAGGATCATCTAGTCCAACTCCCTCAATGCAGGAATATGCTGCTGTCCCTTGTAAGATTCGAACCTGCAACCTTGGTATTATCAGTGCTACTCTCTTAGCATAAGAAATGCCAGTTACTCAAATATTTTGTTGAATACTGTGCACACAGCTCTGTCCTGTGCTAGGCCACTCGTGTAAGATTGTCATATGTCCAATGTTTGGGCATGCCACCTGGTGTCTATTTGGTTGGGAGCGCTCTTATTGGAGAACAGCCTTTACCAAAGGTGTCATGGGCATTGAAGACACTCGAACTCAGGACGCAAGGGAGAAACGTGCTAAGAGGAAGGTACGCTTGGCAAATCCACACCGTGATCAACTCCCGCCCGGAAACCAATGTCCCCACTGTGAAAGGACGTGTGGATCCAGAATTGGCCTCCATAGACCCTTACGGACTCATTGTTAAAACCGTGTTTATAGAAGACAATCTTAATCAGCTATGAGTGATCGAAGAAGAAAATGATTGACCCACATTCTTACTTTCTTTTTTTTTTAAATGCAGATATGTGGCCTTAGTAGATTGAGATATACAATGTATATTGAGCAGGCAGTATTCCACTTAATTGTTTAGGGAGAAAAAAAGGTCAATTCCCACCTTCCATTATCAATAAAAAAAAGTCGCACTCACAATTAACATGTCTGGTACTGTGCTGGCAGCTCTGTCCTCAGTCTCCCTGACATTTTCTATTCTGGTACCCAAAAGAAGTGCATGGCCAACGCCAGAGACAACCACCCTATATTGCAAAACCACTAAGCTGAACTTTAGCCATGAGCAAAGCAGCAAGAAAAGAATAGGGCTGACAGGAGTGGGGGGTGGGGTGGATTTACTGTTCAAGAAGGAGGAGACTAGAAGGCAACCAGCTGGAGCAATAACCCATGAGAGCCAAGGACAAGCAGTGTTTGGGAACACAGAGAGGTCTGCAGGTTGACGAGGTGAAGCTGATGGTTCCCAACTGCAGGCCTGGCCCACCCATTAGGCAAAGTGAGGCAACTGCCTCAGATGGCAGGATCCACAGAGGCAGCAGATTTGGCCTCCAGGGAATGCACTGTCTGCTGTTTCATCCCACTCCTAGGAAGGAAATGTTGGGGGCAGCCCTCTGGAGTCTCCTGGGCTCTCCACCCACCTGTCATGATTCGGAGTGGACTCCTTCTCCTCCCCCTGCCCTCTATGACAGCCTTTGATTCCTATTTCAACAGTTGGGTAAGATTAATTTGATGTTCCACCCTTGTTCCTGACATAGATCTTCACTCACCTCTTCTTCCCTGGCACCTGAGGGAGGGGCACCATTTTGTGGTTTGCCTCAGGTGCCAAAATGTCTTTGGCTGGCCCTACCAGCCAGATCTATAGCAGCTCTAGGGCCTCAGATGATGCTCACTGAGAGTTCTGTTTTTGAAGGCCAGGACCTGGGAGCGCATGTGGTGTGGTCCACACAACAGGAGCCTGTGGCATCGGTCTTCACACTCTGGTCCCACCAGAATCCCTTCTGAATAGTGATTTTCTTCTTTGTTTCCCTCTTGCACAGGCTGACAAGTATGAATGCAGAATTTTTGAAACCTCCTTCTTGTCAGCCAGAGCTCTGCTGGCTTTTGCTCTGATGACTATAGCTGAGGGAAACTACTAACAAGACCACATGCGCTAACTCTTATGCGCTGCCCAGATGTTCTGGTTCCTAGACTGCTAAAAATAAGTAATTTCAAGGGAAAATATGCTGTTGTCCTCTGTTCACACAAAAGTGCTTTGTTTTCTATTGGAGGATCCACTTCAAGGAGGTGGGCAAAGCGATCTGGGTGGCCCTCTGTGCCGAATCTGGGCCAAGAGATCATAACATTGGTTATTAGCCAAGCAAATTTTATGCACTGTTTCATCTAAAATTAAAATTAGCATTCATCAAGATGCTGTTTTTGTTTCCAAAAAAGAAATGGCAAGGAAAGCCAAATAATAATGTGAAATGTGTGCTTAATCAGTGTTAAAACTCCTGAGTTCAGCTCTTCTCGCATTTATTTATTTGTTTATTTATTTACTAAAACTCCTTTCTGAGTCCGGAACAAATTTATACAAGAGTCTATGACGTATAAGTTGGTCTCAATTCCTACATGCAGTCACTGGTAGACATATTACTCCCAAAAAGGCAGTTTCTCCACATTCTGTTGGGGGAAGTGAGGGGCAGATGGGTCTTGTCAACCTGGGAAGGTAGCCCTTTTAGGAGAAGGAAAAGTCTGATACTAAATTAATAATAATAATAAAATTTTATTTATATCCCGCCCTCCCCAGCCAAAGCCGGGCTCAGAGCGGCTAACAACAGTAAAGTAATACAGCATTCTAAAATCAATTCATTATAAAATCAGTTCAAATCAAATTAAAGGCAACCATTGGGCTAGAGTTCTGTGAGGATTACCAAAGGAGGGGGTCAGACTGTGCGTTGGCCAAAGGCCTGGTGGCACAGCTCTGTCTTGCAGGCCTTGCGGAAAGATGTCAAATCCCGCAGGGCCCTAGTCTCTTGTGACAGAGCGTTCCACCAGATCGGAGCCACAGCCGAAAAAGCCCTGGCTCTGGTTGAGGCCAGCCTAACATCTCTGTGGCCCAGGACCTCCAAGATGTTTTTGTTTGAAGACTGTAAGGTCCTCTGTGGGAAATACCAGGGGAGGCGGTCCAATAGGCACGAGGGTCCTAGGCCGTATAGGGCTTTAAAGGTTAAAACCAGCACCTTAAACCTGATCCTGTACTCCAGCCAGTGTAGCTGGTATAGCACTGGGTGAATGTGACCCCACACCGAGGACCCCGTAAGGAGTCTCGATGCGGCATTCTGCATCCGCTGAAGTTTCTGGGTCAGT